CCAATCAGAGAACACAAATTTCGGGTATTCCGGATCAGCCCGACATAGAATCCGAACACATGCGAAAGAAGAAAAAAAGAAAGAATGCGAAAATACTCAAAAACTTGTGTTTAAATCGACCTTGGTTGACTCATAAAAATAACGGGATGAAATTTTACATATAAAAAACCCAACTATCGCTAAAGCTCACAACCCTGACGTCTTAATCCTAAACTTCTATTTTTACGCACTTAGTTTATTTACAAAATTTGATTGCTTTTTTGGTTTGTGTTACCCGCGCAAATATGATTTATACCCGTGCATATAAGTATGGGAGTAACCGACTTATGTATCGGGCATATAATAGTAAACTATAACAAAAACATAGAAATACTCGTACAGTATACCCCCTACACGCGTACCTCGGGTACTAAAATGGGCTGGTGAAGTACCCAGGTGCACATGCCGGGTAAATACGGTAATTTTATAAAAATGTGCCAAAACGTAGCTTCCATATATAGCGGTCGGCTAAAGCGGAGCGAGTTTTAGGGTTACCTTTTTGATGTGGTTATGGGTAGTGGGTTATATAGATATCAATAATGTGATTTATGCATTATGTAGATCATATATTGAATTAACTCTGCTTTAGCAGACCCCCATATATAGATAATCTGAGTAATGTTTTTTTTCGCGAAATATCTCATCAGTTAACATCTAAGATTATCTCGGATTACTATTACTAATGTTTATTTTGTAATTTATTTCCATTGCTAAATATGCAAAATATAAATTTAGTAATAGTGTGACCTTGATCTTATGATTAAGGTGTACACGTATAGTTAAAAAGGTAAACTGTTTGATGAGGCCATAAACAATAATAAGCCTAATGAATCACTCTTTTTGAAAGAAATCAAAGAGATTCGGTTTTGAGACTTCACATGTTTTGCATACAGCGTAATAAAATGTGTTGAGCCAAATAAAAACAGCCAAGGTTGGAAATGATCGTACGGCAATTTTTTAAATAAAAAACACGGTGTTGTTGCAAATAAAGCATTATAATATTGTTTAATAACATTGTTTATGTACTTAAAATTGTGAATAATGTCCGAGTTGGAGCCTATTTTACATTTTATTTGTTCGGATGATGGTGACAGTTTAATTTTAGAACTCAATGGTAAGCTATTAAAAACCGGAACTTTTCGTTTTAAAATATTTATACATTTATTTTAAAAACTATTTGCCTTTTGGACAGATAATTATTTTTTAATTATTGATGGTGGGTCTGCACAAACTCCGTATTATCAAAATTTGAGAGTAGCGATTCTCAAGCGTCGTATAACAGCATTCAAAGGGATTATTATAACAAGCGTACATAAAAATCATTTTGAATATGACCCGTGGGTCGATAGCGCAGTGGTTAGCGCTCCCGGGTCACAATCGCAAGGTCGCGAGTTCGAGTTTACTGGGTG